AGCGCTGGGGGGGGGGGTGATAACTACAATTTAGTTCCCTACATCAGATGCTGAAATTAACAAATAGTGACCTGTACCTCTAACCCTTAAGATTTTATAACCTGTATGTTCACAACACCAGCTTGCTTGCTGAAACAAGTTAAGTGTAATTTGAAAAAATAGGTAAAGTCATGCTGATTTCAAAAAGAAATACAGAACTGCAATCATGTAGCTAAAACAAACAAATATATTGTCTTAATATCATTAAGTACGGTAGTACTTAATAGTAAAGATCGTGATGAAACACAATGGCGGCCACGTGAGCAAAACTAAAGCTTATTGTAATTATAAAGCCGTCTAAATCGTTATATACGTGTTTATAGAGTGAATCAACATTTCACTATTTTAACGAATTTTCATCTAAGTAAGTAAGTCAGTAGGTGGCTTTTCCAGACAAGCGCACAGAAAAAATGACGAACCTTAACGCTTTAATTCTTTCAAAGAACTCTTCCGTCTGGGGTCCAAATTATTATGTTCATGTGCCGAAAGAATAGTAATATATATATGCACATAATATAAATGATGTGCTACTTTGGGCATATAATTAGATTTGGAGATAGGTTAGTAGAGGTCCTGATAAGTAATAAAACCGAGTCTGGTATACGCGCACTCCATGCTTGGTATTGCTGGCGCACAAAAATATAGCTCATAAAAAGGAAACAAACAAGTATAATAAAAAGTGTTTATAAATACAAGTAGGATCGATATATACGTAACCTAGCTGGCTATAGTAAAATAAAAAAATGTATCCTTACTTTGGCTCAGACTAACATAATTGCAATAATTTGCCCAGTAACTCAGTTTTGTAGTTTTGACTTTCTTGTTTTAATAATTGTGGTTGCATTAAAATTTATACATTACTATAGCTAGCTAGGTTACGTATTTATCAACCCCTACTTGTCTATATAAAATTTGTTACACTTGTTATAATTAAATGTAGTTAAAAAAAACATTTGTGTGTAACAATTACTTTTCCAAAAATAACATTGAGACATAATATTGATATCCACAATGTCTGTAAGAAGTTCAATTTCCCATATTAAACACATCTATAAATATAATTATTAGAAGGCAATAGATGCACTTTATTATCTTTCATTCTCAACAAACTAGTGATAGCGATAACTGCAAAATCTATGAGTATTCCAGTTACTATAACTGCAGAGTATTCCTTCATCAACATCAATGAAAACAAAAGATCCACCATGTTGTTTTTGAGTTTTTTTTACTTGGTGTGGTGTAGATTATCCTTGCAA